GGGGATGATCTGACAGAGCTCAGACAACAGCTACAGCTGGTGGAGGACGAGGCAGAGCTCCTGAGGAGAAACCTGGCTGATGCTGAGGAACAGAACAAGAGGGTGACAGCTGAGCTGAACAAGTTACGCTTTAAAGCTGGCACTCATGAAGGAGGTGCCAGGCATGGAGGAGGAGGTGGAGTTACAGGAGGAGCAGGCATTGATGGAGCAAAGGCAGAAGCCCTCCAGGAGGAGCTGAAAGCTGCAAGACTGCAGATTAATGATCTAAGTGGCAAGGTAAGGAAGGCGTTAAACACTGACGTAATATAAGATGCTGATCTATGTAATTAATTTAATGCTTTTATAATTAGTGTAAATATATGAATTTAGGTATCAATTAGTAACTCATTCCCAAGACTGACAGTCCCCAGCTATGCTAGTTCTTCTTTAGTAGCAGTAATAACAGAATCATGAATTTTACCAAGTTGATGTTTTCTCTGCTAATCATTTTAGTTTAGAGTGTTAGCATCTTTGTCTGATTAGGCCAGCCAGTATAGAATTTTTAAGACTGATACTGATATCATTACCGCTTTACACTACCAACACAGATATTTGCTAACAATACTGATATTTTAAATATACCGATACCAATATTTTAAAATACCAATATTCTGATATAGCATTAATATTTTTTTCTTTCAAAAAAAACATAAACACAATTCCCTAACAGTCTGTGGTTCCAAATACGTGTGTTGCCATCGGGGAAGGTACCCTAAGAGTACCCTCTCATCTCTTCTTTCCTCTCTTTTTTAGCTTTCATTTATTGGCTACTATAAATATTGATGCTGATAGATGTGCAAACATTTAAAATCAGTCGATAGTATCAGCCTGCTTGGTAAATCAGTTGGGTTTTTGTTATGATCTGCAGCAGCAGCAGATTTTGTGGAGCAGAGAGTGAGGACCTATTTGCAGACAATGTAAGCAGGAACAGAACTATAACAAAAGGCGAGCAGATTATTTGGGCTGATTGGCAAAACGGTGCAAAATAAGGAAACTGAACTGAAATCTAAACTGGGAAAAACACTAGAACATGGGAAGCACGGGAAACATAAGCTGTGTCTCAATTTAGGGGCTACTTCAGCTGCGCTCCGAATCCATTGCCGCGTATGAAAAGTATTTTTATATTATTATAAAAATATTCGAAATACTAATTTAATTAATACAGTATTGCAAAGAGTAATAAAAATAATATTACAACAAAGTAGCTGTCGCCATTGTTGGAAACTGGAATTGGCTGGGCCGCGCTATGAATTCTGGGATAGGTTGGGCCACGAAGGATACCCCCGACCTATCCTTCAAATTCAGGGAAATGAACGACGCATTTGTCAGCCGCATTTGGAGCAGCCTTCAAATTGGAACAGCCTTCGTTGCATTGCTGTGACGTAATTGGCCTTCAAATGCGGCCTCCGAAGGATGCAGCCCCTGAATTGAGACTCAGCCATAGAACCTGAGAGACACAGGGGAAGACAGACAGACACTCAGACAAAGGACGGAGACAATACATACACTGAGGGGTGATCAGGGAAGTGGAAACACATGGGAACACAGCAGGAACAAATTAGACATAACGAGATAGGGAAAGCAAAGCTGACACAATGAACAGGGGACGAGGACTATCAAAATAAAACAGGAAGTAGCACGAACACAAAAACTCAAGAGACTCAAGACATACAGAGAGATGTAGGGTGAGAGATACAGAGCGAGGGAGAGACAAGACAGTTTTACATGCACCTTTCACAGTTATGCATAACTTTAAGTGGGTAAAATAACGGAACAGTTTTTACAATAGGGGAAAATTTCCCATAAAGTCCCGAATCATTTTTTGTACCAGGATGTAACATGTTCGATCCTGCTGCAAAGCCCAGTATTTTAACATCGCAGCCTATGAGGATTGACTTGCTTTTGGAACCAGCCTGCAATTTATAGTTTTATCTGTCCACCCCAGAGGTCACTGCTTTGCCAAAACATCTAAAAACAGTTCTCATCTCTCTCCGCCTCTTCCCATCAGGTTATGCAGCTGCAGTATGAGAACCGAGTGCTCCTCTCCAACATGCAACGCTACGATCTGGCTTCTCATCTCTCCCTGCGGCCGAGCCCACGGGACAGCGATGCAGAGAGCGATGCCGGTGGCACGACGAGTGGTCGCCGCGAGAGCGACGAGGACTCCACCTCATCCCGCCTGCTCCCTCCTCACCGCAAACGCGAGGGTCCTGTTGGTGGGGAAAGTGACTCAGATGAGGTGAGAAACAATAACGGCAGCAGTCGCTGCTTGACGCCCACCCGGGGCCTCTACACCCCTACTGGGCCAGAGGGCGCCGCCTCCTCCGCCTTATCCCGCTTCCTGCCAGGTGGCCGGTGCACCCTGCGAGAGCGGCAACAGATGATAGACATCCGCGTGGAAGCAGAGAGGCTCGTTCACACCATTGATAGGCTCATCGCCGATACTGCGACCATCATCTCGGAGGCGAGGGTCTACGTTTCAAATGGCGACTTAATGTTCGGGAGGTCCGGCGAGGAGGGTGGGGAAGATGATGGGAGCAGAATCAGGGAACATGAGCTGCTATATCGCATTAACGCCCAGATGAAAGCCTTTCGTAAGGAACTGCAGGCCTTCATAGACAGACTGGAAGTGCCGAAGCTAGAGGACAGGGAGTCAGAGGAGCCGCTGTCGGTGAGAATAGAACTGAAATATCTCATGTGAGCACGTAAAATATCCTCCAGAGTTAACTGTATTTCTTCCTTTTTCTCTCTTTATCCATACTCCCGTGTTTCTCATCTGTCGGTTTGCCGCTCCTCCCTCTCCCAGATGTTCCAGCCAATCATTTTACTCATCCTCATACTCGTGTTATTCTCATCCCTCTCTTACGCCACCATCTTCAAGCTCGTCTTTCTTTTCACTCTTTTCTTTGTTCTGTGATGCACACCTCCCTTTAACACACGTCATCCTTTGGTTTGTTTTCCCTCCGTTGATTTGTTTTCTTTCCATCCCCGCATCATTTGTTGCCAAGGTAACCGACAGCACAGTAAAAGCTCAGCACTTACCGAGGTTGCACTCACATTGGAGGAAGTGTGGCCAGCTTCAGCACTGGAATCTGCATTATCATCACGCATCGCCATCTGCATAAGGTGCTCGAGACGGTAAGTTACAGAAAGGTTACACATTGCAGATAGCTAGTGGAACTCTAACATAATAATGCTTAATTTTAAGCCTTAATGATGTTTAAACGGTTAAATTGCAAAAATAATAATAATAATAATAATTCACGCCCCTAAGTTGTCATAAATGGGAAAATTTGTCTTACAGATAACAAAATTGTTTTCAACTGGACTGTAAAAATGTTTATTTCTGCTAAATGCAATTAAGCATTTTAGTAAAGCGGACAGTGGGGATGTAGTTTTTGTAACAGTCTCAGATGGCCATCTGAGGAGCTGCAACTCCTCGTAGGCTTCATTTGTAAGCACTGGAAGTGTCCACGGGGTTAAAAACAGCCACCTCAGAGACTTATTGTAGTACAAACTTGCAGCACGACAGACATCATCAAAGAGTCCAGTTATATAATATGTCCTGTGTGTGTGTTTGTGTGTGTGGACATTTTAAGATGTGTGCCTGTTTGAATCATAATAATAAATAGTCCAGTTTTTTTGTAGTTCATTCCTCACTGTGCGGGTAATAGCTGTGGATTTAAAGCCAACGGAGATATTTTGGCATATTTGTGCAGAAGTTGTTTAAGCCAAAATGAAAGTGTGGTCATATAGGTTTTACTCTGATTGGATGCAATCTGAAACACTTAGTGCTACTTAGTACATTAACTGTTGTAACAGGTCATGACGGCAGCGACATCGTCTTTAATTTGCAGAACAACACTTGCTGTGCCGCCCTGCTGTTGTTGTTGCCTCAAAGTAAAGTAAGGTGGAAGTTTGTTTCTGTCCCACCCCTGAATTCCTGAAGGGCTTAATTATTCATTTGGGAACACAACAGGTGGAAGACTAAGGCTGATTTCACACTGGAAGGAATTCTGATCATCATCATAAGAAGGGGTCAAGGACCACAAAATTCCCAACAGGGTCTTGATTAGGGGTTGCTATTAGTAATTGATGGCGTGGCAGATGAACAGTAGCAACTGTCTTCAGATGTTCACCGCAGCAGAATGAGTCACAGCTTTGGGTTACTCCAGGACATGGGATGAGTGTGTGCATATTTTACTTCTTTGCACCATTTGAAGCATAAATAATGTGATACCTCTACTGAGTGTGTGGCTTGATTGTTACTTTGACGTATTTTATATATATATATTAAAGCTTTAAATATTAAATCTCTACAAATGAGATGTAAATGCTGTATTATTATTTTTATTATTGTTTGTGTGTTGTTGTTGTGTTTTTGTGACTGTCTCCAATAAAGATATTACTCCGTGTGACACATTATTACTCACAGTGTCACACGCACTCATTTGGCATCCCTTGGAAAAATGATTTGCAAGCTGGGCACGGTCACAAGGCAAAATCTGCCCAAGTATCCGAAAGCAGAGTAGCAACAGAGAAGCTGATTGGTCGAGAGACCGCAGCAGCTGAAATAGCTATGTAAACACTTTCCCCTCTATCCGCGAGCCCCGGTAATTATAGCAGGGATGCTGGTGACGACAGTTTGTCCTATCGAGACTTCAAATGCTGGAATAAATTTGACATTATGATATTTGACCTCCGCCCCACGTAAACACCCGGGAGCGGTATAAAGTGTGGGTACCCCGGCTGGAACAGAAGTTGTTTACCCTTTAGCTCAACGCTCCCCGAGGAGGAGGACAAGGGGATCCTTTAAATTCAACCCCCGAGGTTGTTTTTTTTTTTTTTACGTAACACAGTGGAGGCAAAAGCGAGGGGGACACAGCGGAGAGAGGGCAGTTGAAAATAATTGGCGAGCAGGAACGGTTGAAAGGACCGAAGAGACCAGGGACTAGACTGAAGAGTTACACCCGAGAGCAGATAGAACTTTTACGCAGAGGTAGGTAAGAAAAGCTGTAAATTACTAAAGTGGGAAACTTTTTTATTTTATTTTATTTTATTTAGTTTTAATTATCAACATATACAAAATGAAAATTGAAAAAATAATTTTTTGTTTTCTTTAAAGATTTATTCTGAGTCATGTTCAGTTTGATAATTTTTCTTTTGGCTTAGTGTCGGGCATACTTTCTGTTCCCCTGTGCCTCTCCCCTGTCCACAGGACGTGCAGTCACTTTACTATGCATAGTTACAAGATTATTAATATCTCTACTCTCACATCACAGATGGGAGGGAAGTGGCTGGTAAATTCGGGTATTTTCCACCAGGATACTTGTAATATTGAGTGGCGGCATCACCAACAACAACAACATCAGAGAAGCCTTGCTGTCTCAGTTTACCACAGCAGTTAGGCTCTCGCTCTTGGCTGGTTTTAGGGAACTGGCTCGCCGTCTTGGATGCATCTGAGGTGTTACGCAGTTTAATCTCCAGGAGGTCGTTTTTAATGTTGAGCCCCACTTAAGAAGCACTGAGCTCAAGTAGGATTTTAAGTGGTTCTTTAAAGGTCAGATGCAGAAGCGATAATGATTTTTTTTAACCTTCTTACTAATAGACTCTGTCATAGTTTTGCGATTTTTGTACATTTATGGGTTTTTTTAATGAGCAAATCTTATTGTAATGATTATCAGTATAAACATGATAGGTGGGTGTAGGATATAGGGTGGATATAGCAAAATGCATAACAGGTGACATCATGTGTGCACATGGGCACTCTGATTCATGAGTGAAATGTTTTTTCTTTGACATGCTGGGTCAGGCTGGAGGTCAAACTGACCAAGAATTGAAACAGATGGCTGTGGCACTGTCGTGTAATAGTTTTGTCTACACGTGCTGCATTGGTAGTTCTAACATGCCTGTAATTATTGGTGAAGAATTCCAAAAGCAGCTGTAAATATCTAAGTATTCAAACCAAACCCAGATGAAAAAGCCTTGACTGAAAAAGTAGAAATGGGTTGATCAGCCTTTTGATTTCAGTGTCAGAAACTCCATAACAAAACCAGATTTTGGGCTACTTTATATAGAAATACATTGAAACACATTGAAATTAATCAACAACACTTGTTGTCTGTCTTCTATTTCTTTGACTTTTTAGTGTTTCCAGGCCATTAATCCTTCTGCCCCTTGCTTGCAACCCTTTGGTGACCTCTGACCGAAAAGTGAAACAGGAGAAAGGGGGAAAGTCATTTGAAAGAGTGTCTGGCTATTAAGCAGCCTGTCATGGCAGCTTTAGATCTGGAGCGAGGGCTTGAGCACAGTGGTTGTGGCTGGGGGCAAGAGAGACCAGAGCTGATGGACAACTTCGACTCGGAGATGCAGGAGTGGGAGGACCAGCTGCAGGACATCCAGAGGAAAATCGAAGAGGTGAGACGTTACATAAACAATACAGGACTTTTAAATGTACAGACTGTATATAAAATATGGCAAAGGCCACTGTGATGTCACCCGTTAGCTTGTGGACATGCATTTTGAAACCTCAGCTTTAATATTGTGATCATCACTGTATTGTTGTGGAGCCAAACTGACCTTTGGCGTCACTAACCATGCTTGCTAGCATTACCAAGGTGCATTAATGAATAATGAAAGGCTAATTTGGACATTTCATGTAACTGATGGGTTGTACTGGGATCGTGTGCAGTTTTCTTGAAGGTGCATATCAGCTTTTGATAAAACATATTTATTTTTGCTCTACAGTTGTGCAGTTTAACATGGGTCTATGGCAGGGGTGTCAAACTCCAGGCCTCGAGGGCCAGTGTCCTGCAGGTTTTAGATCTCACCCAGGGTCAACACACCTGAATCAAATGATTAGTTCATTAACAGGCTTCTGGAGAACTTCAAGACATGTTGAGGAGGTAATTTATCCATTTAAATCAGCTGTCTTGGATCAAGGACACATCTAAAACCTGCAGGACACCAGCCCTCGAGGCCTGGAGTTCGATACCTGTAGTCTATGGGGATTAACTTTTGGTCGCAGCCTCAAGTGGTCATTTGAGGAACTGCACCAATCTCAGGTTAAACTTAGCCAAAACTGATCCGTAATCACACATTGCATCAGCACAAACAGTCAATGTATCTACGCAGTATTAACTGAATAGATACGTGCAGATTTCTACAGACTCTGGGTCAGTGGGTGTAAATTGTACTTACTAATACTACAACCTACCGGTGTTGAAGTGCAAAAGTGAAATTCAGTAGATTTTTTTTTTTTTAAATAAATTTTTAAGATAAATGATGGTCCCAATGTTTAATTTAAAGTGGAGTTTTTTTTGTTTATGTTGTTGTTTTTTCTTCCCAGTAAGATGTATCAGTTATCTCTCAACATGACCACGTGTGGTACATGTTGTGTTTTCAGTGAGGAGCTTTTGTGGCCCCTAGAGTGTGTGTTAATTGGAGTAACATGTTTGTTTGTGCTCCATAATAAACTGTTGGCAGCACACAAACTCACACAACCTCTTGGCCTTGTTGGAGCAGTGATGCAGACAAATGTTAACAAGCTGATTAAACTGTGATGTGCTGACAGATATGCTGGACACACACTGTCTGAAAATGGATACCAAAGTATTGCACATTACAAAGATGCAAATTGAAACAGGTGCATGTGTGTAATGGAATTGCGAGCTTGTCAGAAATCTAAGTTAGATTTTAAAGTAGTTTTGTAATCATTATTTTGCTGCTTTCCAGCTGTACAATGAAGTTCAGGCCCGCAGAGGAGCAAACGATATCGCCGCTGACAAC